ACCTTTATTGCTAAACGAAGTGCATTCTCATTATGGGGGATAAGAGCAATGAATACTATCCGCGATATTTGCTGTATATCAACTATAAAAAAAAAAAAATATATATATATATAATAAATAAAAAATAAAACAAATTTTGATTGGTGATTAAAAACGAAAGACAAAGGAACCAGAACAAAATGAAGGGAAATAATGTAAGTCAAAAACCAATTGCTGTCATTAGTAGCGGTACTACTAGGCTATCCGGAAGTAAAAAGGAGTCAGGATCAGGAAGCAGCATGAAGGACAAGGATAGAGAGATGGCCAAAGCTATTAACGCTGAGTTTTCCGACGACGACGATGAAGACGATGATAACAAGAGTACATGGGATGACGAGGAGAAGGTAATTTCTCTAATTAAAAATCTCTTCACTGTGATGCCTGATATATATTATCGCAGGCATAAAATATATAATTCTCAATTAATCAAGAGAAAACTCTAGAAAACACTGTGCTTCTTCAAATTCACCGTTGTATAATTACTACTATTTCTTCCTAACGTTGTTAAATCCAGCCACATGAACGAGATGACGAAGAAGAAGAAGATGAGGAAGAGGATGAAAAAAAGAAAAAAGATGAAAAGAGAAAAAAGGAAAAACAAGAGAGAGAAAGACAAAACACCGAAGATGAAGAAGAGAAAGATGACGAAGAAGTGAAGGAGGACGAGGAAGATACGAAACAGGAGGTAGGAGGAATATTCTCTAGAATTGTCACATTTTCTACGAGAAATCTCTAGCTCTCGTGCACTCACACACTCACGCTCTCACTCTCGCTCTCTTTGATCTTAAAAAAAAACTTTAAAAAATCTTAAAGCAACGTATTTTTTGCTGCGTATCCTTTAGGACGAAGAAGATGACGGCGATGATGAAGAAAGAGATGAAAATGATAAAAATGAACATGGTAGAAATGCTGATTCGGAGGAATTACCTAGTAGACGTGATGGAAGGAAATTCATCAAATTGAATTGTCCACACTGTGCGCACCGTAGTGTTACATTTAAAGAATATTCTTTACATTTATACTCTGGACGTCACAGTGCAGCTATGAGACGTATCGCATCTCGACACAAAGCTACTTTAACACGTATGAGAGTTTTACAAAGACAAGAACAACGACGTGTAGAAGCACGCGATGCTGCTCGCGGCACTTTACCCTCTCGTACCATGTTCTGTCCTATATGCAAACTAAACTATCGTTCTATCAAAGCTATACATCAGTTGTCCGAATCGCATCGTCAAATGAAACGATTCCTAACACCATTTTGTCGTGTTTGTCGTATACAATTCAGATCGCCAATGCTCTTCGAAACACACATGTGTTCTCTCGATCACATAAAGGTAAATTTTTCCTTTTAATTATTCCGAACTTATCGAATTATTATTTTCTTACAAATATGTACGAAGGTACACTCGAGTTTCTTCTTTTATCCTTACAGAGGAAAAGCGTATGGAAAGAAAGAATGAGTACTGGAAATGGGGAGCCTGAAGCAGATTCCAGTGCTCCAGAGGAAGACGATAAGGAAGTCAATCTGGACAACTTTATGACTTTGGATTCAGTGGGTGATGTTGATGGTAAGCTATATAAACCTTTCTTACATTTTTCTTTTTCTTTTTCTTTCTAAATCTGCCTCTATAAAAGCAAATATAATTGTACCTTTTGCAGAGGACGAAGAAAGTAGCGATAAAAAGAAAGAAAAACCGACAGATGGTGAAAATGTGAGCGAGACTGAAAAAAAGCCCAAGAATAAACAAATGATTAAAGTGGGAGCAGAATATATAAAACGCGTAGAAGTACAATTTTGCGAATTGTGTAAAGTTTATCTGCCTCGTAGTGAAAACAGTGAAAGAGCAGTGGCGCTTCATTGTTCCACTCGAAGTCATCTGAAACGGTAATTGATATAAGTAAATAATAATTGTATTATATTATTGTCATATTATCATGCTATATCATATAAAATAAAATAATATAATACAATATAATACATAACACGCACGCACAAATATATATATATATATATATATTACTTTGAAAAATTTCGTTTCTATATATATATATATAGGTATGTACGAGATAATGACGATAAAGCACTTAGAAGAGAAGCTGAAAGAATACACCTTCAAACATCGTCGTCTGTAAATACAAGTACTAATTCCAATACGATCAACACATCTGACGCCACGAAAGCTTCAACGAATTCTGAAACTCCTACATCGACTAGTGGTATTCAGCCTTTATCTGGTAATAATGGTAGTAACAATGTTATAGAAAGTGTGAAAATCGTCGAACAAAAAGTAAATGCTAATGAAACGGAAAAAAATACAAAAGTTAATAAAAATGGTCAGGGAGATGAGGACGATGATGATGATTATCATGGCGATAGCAGTGTCAAATTATGGGATGACGTTGACAAAGATTTAGGTGATATATTAAGAGAGACTGAACCTGGAACCAAATCTAGCGATGACGAAGATTCCCGTTATGATCGTTTTCGTAATTCAGATAAAAAACAACAGCAACAGCAGCATGGAAAGGAAAAGGAAAGAGATAATGAAAAAATCGAGGGAAATGATAATGAAAGTAATAATAAAAAACAAGATGTAAAGATAAAATGTGAGAAAGTGGATATATAATTATCTTGGATAAATTGTTCTAAAAAACAGTACGTTTCACTCATACCCTTTTCTACGTACATTATTATCTTTATATATAATTGTCTTTTAAATCTGATAACTTGGCGTACGATAGTTAAATATTAAGTTTTATTTTATATCGTGGAAGAAACAGAAATGTATGATTATAGTACTTGTACATCACGATGAATAATGTTGTATTTAGTTACAAGCTATTCTAAGACACAGCTGTACGAGCTAAGAAAACTGCATAAGTTGAAATTTTTTTCGTTTTTTGTCGTCTTTTGTCATCTTTTGTCATCTCCTTTTTCTTTTTTAAAGCTAAGAGCTAATTTCTTTATTTTAAGATAATACAAAAAATATATGATCAAGATTTTAGTGGCTCTCATGAAAACCAAAATGCAATTAAATATCAAATAGAGTTTCGCTACATGGTTACATTTCGGTTTTTTGTTGGTGGGATAAGGGTATATTTGAAATGTATATTTTATATTACTCTTGTAAACTTCATAATGTTCAATTCCTTTGTAATTCAAAAATCATTTCATACGCACATGTCTAGCAGCAATACAAAAATTACAAACAGTGCTGTAAAAAAAAATAACTTTTCATATAAATATCTCTTAGTACAATTGTGCAAAAAAAATATATTTAATTCTTTGTGAATCCCAGGTATGTGGAATAACAACAAAGACGGTAGATATTGATTTTTAATTAACATGTAAATGAGTATATAATAAAATATGTCACTGTAGACAATGAATAAATAAACTTGAAATTATTAAATACGTTCTTATTTGTCTTTAAAATATTTTAATTCCAAAATATTATCACGTATGTATTACATATAAAGAAACACGTAACATATATTCCTAGATTTTACATAGTTTATTTTTTTTTAAATCCTTTTTCTCTAGTTCATTGTTTATTGTTTATTCAAACATTTACGGGAATTACCCATTGTTACATAATCAGAGTAAATAATGAAAGATAAAGATAATATACATATAATACTGATAAATAAAATAATATAAAT